TTCAAGAACTACAGCAAACGGCTCGTTTGGACTACAGCGTTTGTTTTCCGGGGCTTTGTGATATCACAAAGCGGCTCATTGGAATATCATTACAAATAATTCCCGCCTACAGAAATTCGAGTGGTTGGGGGGTGGGGAGGAGCGAGGTCGTGGTTAGAACGCTTGGTTGAGTGCATCAGACAAGATGACGACGAAGAAGTGCTGCTGCAGAGTTGGTGCATCAGAGAAAACGAAGAAAAAGAAGAGCTGCTGTAGCTTCAAGTTTTCGGCATTTCTATAGGCAGTCGCAGAGAAGCGCAGCGCCGTGTCTAGAACAATTCTTACAAGTACAACATGACAGCCGGGCGCCGCAGACAGACGCCGAACGCTGCCTCTGGTGTGCGTACACTCATAGAAAATAATGTGTTCGAATTTTAAAGAAGTGGCATGGCGCGACGCTGCGCTTCTCGTCCGGTGTGCAACCGCCTTAAACGCAGTTGTTGTTGTTTTTTTCACCCCCGTGCCCAAACGTCTTTGTTTGGACTTCCGAAAGTGGATGATGTCAGGAAACAGTGGTTGCAATTTATTTTTAACTCTATTCCTGAGCATTATAACCCCGGGAAGTCGTGACCTAATGGTTAGCCTTGAGCAAGGCACCGAACCCCCAACTGCTCCCGGGGCGCCGCAGCATAAATGACTGCCCACTGCTCCGAGTGTGTGTTCACGGTGTGTGTGTTCACTGCTGTGTGTGTGCACTTAGGATGGGTTACATGCACTAATTCCTAGTATGGGTAACCATACTTGGCCACGTCACGTCACTTTCAATTTGCAATTTTCTAGTACACCCCCAAAACAAAATCAAGACTTTGTAAAAGAGCATAATAGGACCCCTTTAACAAATCCATCTATTTATAAATAAATCTGGATTTAATTTTGATTGAAGGCATACGAGCGTGGCATTGCCCTCTTTAGGTGGCCTAATGTCCATGACATCTGGAACACGTACCTCACCAAGTTCATCGACCGTTATGGAGGCAAGAAGCTGGAGAGAGCTCGCGATCTGTTTGAGCAAGCGCTGGATCGGTGTCCTGCTAAATATGCCAAAAGTAATAATGCAGAAAACACAAAATGATATGATTAACTACATTCACTTAAGATGAAGAGTAAACGTTTAAATCCTTTACTTGTAAGTGGTGCTTTAAAACCAGGTCCTGATTTAATTTGTGTTGTTTAACAGCAATCTACTTGCTGTATGCTAAGCTGGAAGAGGAGTACGGTCTGGCGCGACATGCCATGGCTGTGTATGAGAGAGCCACTGCAGCTGTAGAACCAGAGGAACAACATCAGATGTTCAACATCTACATCAAACGTGCAGCAGAGATTTATGGAGTCACTCACACAAGAGCCATCTATCAGAAAGCCATTGAGGTAAACCACTCAGCTGTCACTCATTTAAAAATATATCAGGCAGTATAAAATGTTATATGTTATAATGAGTTCATTTGGTTTGGTGCAGGTCCTGCCAGATGAGCACGCCAGAGACATGTGCCTGCGCTTTGCGGACATGGAGAGCAAACTTGGGGAGATTGACAGAGCGAGAGCCATCTATTCCTACTGCTCACAGATCTGTGATCCAAGGGTAAATCTTACAGTTCCGCTCCATATTACTTTGCTCATATTGTGTGTGATCCTGTATTTTGACTGACTTAACATCTCTGGATCAGGTGACCGCTCATTTCTGGCAAACATGGAAGGAGTTTGAGGTACGCCATGGTAATGAGGACACCATCCGCGAGATGCTGCGGATTAAACGCAGTGTGCAGGCCACATACAACACACAAGTCAACTTCATGTCCTCTCAGATGCTCAAGGCTACTGGAACAGGTAAGCACAAAATTACTAAAACATACTAAAATTACAAATGACAATATAAATATTAAAGCTAAATAAAAATATGAATAAATACTATAATAGTATATAAATGATACTAAAACTGGACTGGAGAATGGTGTAGAATCTAGACTGACAATCTCTATTTGCATGTGAAATTTATTCTTAGCACAGGTGAGAATGGTAAGCAAATAGGCGTTGGATTAATCCACCAATTGAGGTTGTATAATAGCATATAAATTCTTCATTGTATGGTTAAACTCTTTTTAATTGCTTGTGTGTTTTAGTGTCAGATCTTGCTCCTGGGCAGAGCGGAGTGGATGACATGAAGCTGCTGGAGCAGAAGGCTCAACAGCTCGCTGCAGAGGCTGAGCAGGACAAACCCAAACCTAAAGACAAGATCCTCTTCGTCAGGTATGTACTGCGCCCTAGTCTGAGGCAGGCCACACAGATCAATCAGAGCATGCAGGTGGTGTGGCACCAGCTCAGAGACTTATTTAAAGGTTCTGCCCTTTTTGAAAATTAAGTTTCGATTGTACCATTTACATCACTTGGCTTTTGTTTGGTTTGTACAGGAGTGACACCTCTCGCAGTGAACTTGCCGAACTGGCCAAACAAGCTAATCCAGATGAGATTGACATTGATGATGAAGATGAGGATGCAGAGGATGGGGAACCAGATGGTTAGTTCAGATGGGACATAATTGTTTTTTTTTTTCTTCATCAGCATTGATGATTTTCAATGGTGTGTCTTTGAACAGTTGCTTAACTTTGGTAGTCTGATCATTTGCATTTTGTCATTGCAGAGGTGCAGTTGGAGCAGAAGTCTGTCCCTACTGCTGTCTTCGGAGGACTAAAGGATGACTGAATTCTCTGCAGTTTTACAGATGATCACAAAACACCCAGATTCAGTAACCAGGAAACTGCTAAATGAATTACAACATGCTGATGTGAATTATTGTAAATGGCTTACTACATTTTAGCAGTACCAATTCAGACCACATGGTGTCACTCTTTACAGCATTTACATGCTTTCAATTTGTTCATCATGACATTGGGTAGATAAAATGTTGAAGCGCTTGAACTATTGTTTACCCCTCTCTACTGTATATTAAAAGAACAATCAACATGCCTGACATCTGCAGATCATTTATTATCTGATTGCAATATTGTAAACTCTCTGAAGGCCCTGCCCATAATTGCATGGGCACATGGGTGGAGCTTTTCAGATGTTTGTTTGTGCAAACATCTGAATGCTGTGGTTTGAGGAATATACCAGTTTAAAAAAAAATGCACATTTGGTCAGTGTTGTCAAACTTTCATTGTACATGTTACTTCAGCTGAAAGTTTATTCTGTCTGTAATGGGATGTGGAGTTATTTTTGCAGTTTTCGAGTCTGTTTATATAAAGAAGCATATTTTGATTATTTTATTTGCAGTACATTTTGAGTGCTGGTGTGCTGGAAAACCAAAGAATGAAGAAAAACAAATGCCCTGTTCCTCCCTAATTAGGTTAAAATAGTTCTGTGAGTTAATCGTCTTACAACGTTACAGCAGTGGTCTCTTTAGCATCATGTGACCTGGACCTTCAGTGAATTCTGTCCTCTGTTAGGTTTGTCCACAACTGAGCTGTGCTTCTGAATCATTTTCAGTGAAAAGTCCACTTAAGTGCTTGATGTTTTGGTGATTAACAGGGTTTGATAGTCCCTAGTTTATGACATGCTGTGGCCTAAATACTTGTGTAATTTTTAAAATATCCACAACATCATGCTGAGCAGTGTGTGAGGCTAAATAATAGGCTAATAAATTTGAAACAAAATATACCTTTTTTTCTAAAAAGCGTAGAACTATAAAAAGTCTTACCAAAAACATAAGAAAACTGGTGCGGTTGACACTATACTCCGTTTAGCATTGTAATGCCCTGATGATTATATGTATTACGCTGTTCATAATGACTAATATTTCCCTTTCGCACCCTTCTGGGCAAGTTCTACCTGTCCTGCACCTGTTTCCATGAGTTAAAGCGCCTTCCTACCTGCTGCCTGAGTTCGCATTCTTTGCCCCGCCTTCTCAACCTTGTGTCCTAAATTCTGAAACCTGATTGGATGCCCGGCGGGATGATTGATAGGAGTATGGAGTACCTGGAAATCGGTCGTTTACAGAGCGTATCAGCCAGAGCGATGTGGACTCTGAAGCGGGGTCGAAAACAGTGGATCATCCCCGGGAATATCGTTGAATTTGTCGCTCCGATAGACTGAAACATACCTATACGGCCGCCAGCTCTACTGTATGCATGAAGAGAAGATCTAGAGAGGAATAAATAGTAAATTTATATTATTTTTCGCAGGAACGCTAACGTTACCCGAAACATCGGCCTTTCGCAGTCCCAATGCTGTGGTTGCGTGAAAGAAAAGGATGACTGTTTGATTTTGTTTAATTCCTCACCGCATCGCCTTCCTCTCTTTTTCCCGGCCCGTCTGTTTTGGACTTGCTATGGTGGACTCGAATGCAATGAGGAAGACTTTTGTGGTCCCGGACATAAAGCCATTGGATCAGTATGACTTGACCAGAGCCAGAATCTGCGCCACTGTCGGGTGGCTGCTGGCGAAATCTTACGGCAATGCAGGTATGCAGTGGCCGTGTGTCAAACTCTAGTGAGCTGCCTAGTTACCTAGATTGCATTTTTGTTCCTTCTGAGTCAGCTTAACATGTGTGGGCATCATCATAACCCCAAACTGCGCAAAACACGCTGTCTGTGATCCCCCAAAATACCGTCTAGCTATAGGCAGCTCGCTAGGTTTCAGTCTAATACGTTTTTATTTCCTTCTCGAATCATGTGCTGTTCTCTCTCTCACCTGTCTGTTTTGAGGCCAGCATTTGCTCATTGTTCAGTGACTGCGGAGGAAAGCATGTGTGAAGGTGAACAGCGTGTAAACAGCGTTTTTCTCAACACAAAGACCACATGTGAGGCGGAAAGCTGCTGGTTGTGATCCAGCTGTGTCTTGCTACGATGTGCATTCAGTCTGGCGCTCTTGAATTGTTTCTTAATAAATTAATAGTCTGATACAAGGTCTAAAAGTGTGCTTTCCACCCATTGGGCACTGATAACACATGCATAATATGATCAAATGTTTGCATACTGTAACAGTCTCATAAGGACAAATCAGTCAGATTCGTATGATTATAAAAATGATAAAGAATATAAATAGATAATTTAAAATAAAAGTAAATTCTTAAGTAAAAACGAACTATGCCTTAATATGAGAGAGGATAAAATGTGTCCTTGTTTGCCATTGATCATTTTCCATGAGGGTTTAATCGCACGTGCTTAATCCTTGCAGTAGACATGTTGTTGACTGGGAATTATGATATGATGGGAAGAAATGTAGTAGTTTTGACCTGAATATAAACGAGTGTATTTTGTGAGCGCGTGCTCTGAAAGCACCTATGCGTCATGACGCCTGCACACACCCACTCTCACGACCCCTTTTGTTCATACACCCACAAGAGCACTTCCAAAGATGAAGGAGGTCTTGGTTTCTGACAGAGCAGACGGTTGATAATTACTAAAATGCTTAGTGTGTTTAATTATTTACTTAAGTAATATTAAAAAGGCATGTATGCTGATGCTTTACGTGCATGGATAGTTGACATGACGTCAAGCGGTGACAGCAGTGTCCTGCAGTGTGACGTCATTTATAGACATCACTTCCACTGCTGCTACAGTATATTAAACTATTTGTTTCGTGTTAAAATACACGTAAAAGGCGATAATTAAATATGCACTAATTTAAATAAATTTCCCAGAACATTGAACATTGAAATCAGAACATCGGAATAATCTGAACATTGAATAAAGCCAGGTTCATAAATTGAACAAGGTTTTTTTCTGAGGGTATTTTGAATTGTTCACTTCATAAATCAGAAAAAAAATTCTGTCAGTAGAAAAAATAATTAGGCTATAAAATTTCACCACACGTTTTTTTTTTATAAAATGTTATATAAGACAAATTATATGTGAACTGAATTAAAGTAAAATTAGGCGATAATTAAATAAAATAATTAAGACACCTCTGTAAAAACCCTCAGAATATAGATTAAAAAAAAGAAAACTGTAAAGTTTGGTCTATTTAAGTGTTGCTGAAGTGGAGATTTCTGACTCATTTTGAGAAAACAGCCTTCAAAGATATGCATTATAATTAAAACCTACAGATGCAAATAGATAAAGTGCAATAAAATAAACACTTAAATGTGTATTTTGGATGTCTTTCCACTAGTCAGAAAGAAGACATGTTATAGAAGCAAAATAGACCAAAATCTCAAAATTGACCAGTGCATGAAAAAAACTAAACAATGGTTTTGCCTGTAGTGTCTTGCCATTAAAAGAAATGACCAGTCCAGTGTCTAAAATATGCATTTTTCATTTTAAACATTCAAAAAGATTCAAAAAATGTTGGTCATTTGTCAACTCGATTTATTTCCCACTGTGACCACGCAGCCTTACATACTCTGTTGCACTTTTTCTCTTTTGCAGTTGTAGTTAACATCAGTATTGGTTATCGGGTTTTAAAACCAGCATGAGAATGTTTTTTCATTAGGCCTAGCTGATGCATTTGCACAGTGTATAACCTCAGTGTTCCCCTCACAGTCAGATGGGAAGGATCTCTGTGTATGGTGAGGTGCTCTGTGCTCAACGGCAGCTCACTGGCCTGCGAATTGAAACTCACAAGTAAAAGATTTGTTTTTCTTTTTGGGCGTAGCAGACGGGGTAGTTTGTGTGTTCTTGGGTTGTTTTAAAAAAAAGCCCCATTGTGTTCACCTAGTGAGCCACTGTTAATTCAGATCGTAAGTCTGCATTCCTGTATTTGCTTTATTCCTTGAGCCCGTTTAGAGTCGTCGTGAGCAAGTGCACAAACTGCAGGCCTAGATTTAACGGTTCTCCTTACTCACAATGTTTAACTCCGAAACGGGTGGAGATTTAGAAGATAATTAAAGATGTTTTGTGTTTGCATGAGTAATGTAATCTAGAATTTCGATAATGCAATGGCGTGACCTCTATGATTTATTCATGTTCTTCTGGAACATGAAGGTTATGGCATTAAGGGAAGTCACAAATAACAGTGTATCATAACAGAACGTAAGCTATATTTGTGTTTGATATTTCTGTCATAGAATGCATTGCTTAGTGCAAAAATGTCTGATGAGGCAAGAGTAAATAAACTTGTTTTAATATTGAAAAGTATTGCTAAAAGAGTTCAGTGTAATTAAAAATGTATTTTTATTTCTAATATTTGTGTGAAGTGTATGGATGCAAAGGGGTGGAAAATTTCCGGTAAATTTCCGGAAACTTTCCAAAAATCCTGGAAAGTTTCCAAATTTCTGGAATGTTTCCTAAATTTACTGGAAATTTTCCACCTCTCTGCAACCTTAGTGAAGTGTGTATTTTTGTGATTATAGTATCACACCATTAGCTTAGCATTAGCAACATAGCATTAGAACAGTAGAATTCCTAGAGGAAAAACTACATTACCTATGATTCTGCAGAGAAATCTGCACCAATCAGAGAATTGTGACAAGCAAAAGAACACTTTAGTGGCCACACACTCCATGAAGCACTGTGCATATTTGCAGTAAATGTGTAATGCATTATTTCTGTATATATAATTAACATCTGTAAATCAATCGTTTTGTATTTCTACATTGTTTTTGATTTGATTGTCATTCGCAGTGCTTCATGGGATTGTAGTTCTTCCCTCTTTAAGCTGTAAAGTACACAGTCTTGCCCCTTTATCTTTTTGACAGATTTTAAAATAAAGTTTGTCCTTTTTTGCTTCAAATCAAAGTTTGTAATGTTGTGATACACCTCGTAACTGGTTGGTTTGGGTTACGATTTGTAAGTCCTTAACTAAGACTTTTTCAAAATCTCTATGGGAAAACAGCCCCCAGAAGCAACGCACTCTTGTGGAATCACTTGTAAGTCTTCATGTGGAGTGCTATTTGTATGGTGTGTGGATTTGTTGCCAATGTAGAATGTTCCATCTTTGTAACTTGTGAGATTTCATGATGGTCATGATGCTGTAACCCACGTTTTTAAAGGGGTCATATGATGTTGCTAAAAAGAACATTATTTTGTGTATTTGGTGTAATGAAATGTTTATGCAGTTTAAGGTTAAAAAAACACATTATTTTCCACATACTGTACATTATTCTTCTTTATGCACCAAAAGCTTGTAACACTCCAAACAGAAAGGAAAAATTGAAATCGCATCATATGACCCCTTTAAGGCATGCTGTGCTGCTAATTGCTACCTGTGTTATCAGCAAGGCGTCTGTGCGAGTGAGTTTTTTGGCTTCACTCTGGATGAACTCGGCTCAATAAAAATCTATCCTTGGAGCGCTGTCCTATATGCAGGAGCTTTGAGTTCAATTACAGCCTGAATGCAGATGATGAGATTCAGCCGAGGCATGTTTGACCATTACTGTAGCTTTTACTCTGGGGTTAAGGATTTTTCAAAACCTTTAACATAGCAAGCTTTGTTGCAAGTATTTGTGTTATGAATGTGAATTATAACTAAAAAATAGCCAGAAACTCACCATGCCTTGAAAAAAAGAAAAATCGAGACAAACATTTTTTAAAAAGAAGCCTGTACACTCTAATAATGAAAAATAAATATTGAATTCAAGATTTAAAAAAAAAACACTACTTTGATGAAAAAGTAGCAAAAATGTTGACCTTTTGAAAATGTTTGCCTTTTTTCATGAAAGTAGTGGTTTTTATCTTGCATTCAATGTTTCTTTTTCATTAGGGTACATGTACATGACCACAATGTACTAAAATAGCGCTTTTCACAATACACATTGTTTCAAAGCAGCTTTACAGAAAATGCATGTGTCTACATT